AACGGGCAAACAGTAGTGCAATATTCCAACAGATTGAAAGAATTGACGTTTAGAATTCCATTTAACAAGAAACAAGCAAGTCAAGAGACACTCTTTAATCTTTGATCGGAACCTAGTCTCATATTTCAGAAATAAAATCTTTGGCATTTATACATGCATATGTTAAAATTCTGTGATTGATGTAATCCATTGTATAACTATTTGAATAAATGTATCTATGGCATTTATACAAATGTACATGTGTACTTTAAAATTCTGTGATTGACCCAATCCAGTGTATATTTATTTGAAGAAATAAAAATAGATGACATAAGGAAGACATTTTGCATGAAGACGAGAATCGACCATCTTACAAAAACATGAACCGGGGAATATTCATTACGCGAAAGTCACCTAGATTTCTATTCACAGAAACTTCTTCATGACTGGAACATTTGTTTCATATAAAGCTGGTGTAAAAATAGCTGGCTGTACCACTTGTTAATACACGGTGAATTCCCACCTTCTGTTCCCCACACATGCCTTTTATCCCTTTAAATCCACATGGCAGAGTCAAACAGCAAGCTTTGACTCATACTCCTTTAATTCATGCCACGTGCATAGACAGATTGCACCATCTAATAACAATCCTGCTGATTGTAAAATATCAGACAGGGATTTTAATACAACTTCTCACCAACTTGACACTTACTGGAATATTAATAAACCCGAACAAAGACATTTATTGGATTTGAAGCATTTGATTGATGAGTTATTGATAGATTTGTTTATAAAGAGATTCTATATTATCACCTGCAATTGGATCGTTTCTGCCATTTGTTATGGAAATTCATAATATGGATGGAATTATAGCACTTTATAATCAAATAAATATGTGTAATTGTAATAATCTTGGTAGGGGTCTTTGTGTATCTGATACCATTATACAATTTAATCCCTCCAAATTGCTGTCAACCGTGTTTACATTCATGGTACATGTATGGTCGGTTGGAACATAACATGATAATTATATGATACAATTTTAAACTTGGACTAAACATTATTTATAGCACATGTACAGTGGGTTGGAAAATAATATTAATATGGTAATTCTATTGTTACACAACGATTTATATCTAGCAGACATACATATGGAAATAATTCTTGACTACTGAAATAGATCATTTTGGGCTTAAAATATAATAAACATATAGTATATCTTCTTTTTAATTTTTTTTTTTTATTAATTCCTGGGTTTTTAGGGTATTAGCTGGGGGAAATGAAATGGGGTTTAACATCCTACTTTACTGCACCAAGCAAGCTAAACCCACAAGGTCAGTGAGGCAACCCTATTCCTTATCATGTACAATTGGTTTAAACAGTATATATTTAACATATAACTTGTGTGTGTGTGTGTGTGTGGGGGGGGGGGGGATTAAATATCTGACAGACATGTGATCACTTTAGTTTACTTGATTTATTAATCTAATTTCTAAAATCATTCATGATTCAGTATTGATACAAGTTTCAATCTCTAGCGTCCATTCTTTGTAAAACGGAAAATATCACAACCAGGATATGATTATATATCTGATCAGATGAAAACTTCAAAGATATGGTAAACAAAAGATGAGTGAAATGGGGGAGGATACATAGCTGTATCTACTAGTCATTATGATATCAAAAATTCATTATAACATAATATTGGACTAGTGAACAACAGAAACTTATCATTGACAGTTACTTGTTAACATTGGTAAATTATTGAATAGAACTCCTTGACTACCAATATAGCACACACAGAAACAGACAAATATTTATTTATAGAATAATTCCTATATGTATATAGTTGGTAATAGAAGAATTTCAAAGAGCTTTAAATGGGAAAAGAGCTTTTAATTAATGTATAGATACATTATCATAGTAGAAGATAAAAAATATGACAATAGCATCCCAGATGATTCCTAAAATAGAAAGGCTTTCATTACTTAGTATCAAATGTTTCCCAAAATAATTGGAAGATTCTATCATTGTACATGTACATAATTTGTTATAAAAGTAGATGAATATATATTTATAATAATTATAGCGTTAGTAATCAATGACTTCAAGATGAAATTTAAAATCATTCAGATACAGATCGTTCTCACGGCAGCAATCTCCTAAAAGTTATTTAATCATCTCAAACACTTTCATGTTTCAAATCAAGACTTAAACCCTATCTTTTTGAGAAATCTTATCAGGATTAATTAAAATTGCACACGCCCCCTTGTGTGAGGAGTACTAGCACTATATACAGTAAATGTACATGTAAATATTATTATAAATTTGTGATAAAAATGATTACATATCAAACTAAAATCAAGACAGCAAGAATAATATGTAAATTCAACTGAATAAGCCATTGAGACAAAACACAGCATACCGAAAACAAAAATAAGTAAACAATTTAGGCAATGATCAGGGGAGTGTTCAATTCTACACATTTGATACCATTAAAATATATAATTAAATAATTTGCTATGCTAAAATAGATACCGACATATACTATTTCAAAAAACACCATTTTAGAAAGTTACTGTACCAGTGACCCAAATAAAAGGTTAAATCATTGACCAGCATTTTAAAAAGAGTTCAAAGACATTGTACAGCCCTGTAATGTATGTTTAACAAATAATTAATTGTACCAGACTGAATATTTTAACATTAATTATCTCGTCTATTGTTCTATTGTGTATTCTTGTTGAACATCTGTTGCTGAATGTTGAAAATATGTCCACTGGTGTATGAATGTCACATCGTTTAGCCCACATGACTAGGTTTTTTTTTTAAAAAATGAACACAAAAGCAACACCAACCACAGAGAAAGCAACTACTTTCAAGATCTTCAGACAATATTTTAAAATGTCAATTTCAAATATCCCCTAGGACATAAAACAAATTGTCCTCAACAAAAGTTTTGTGAATACCTGCTCTGAATCTGATTTTATTTTTCAATGGATCCAACACAATAAACATTATCATTAGATTGTGGTACCTTCATATGAATGCAACCCCCCACTCCTAAAAGGGTTATTAAACAGACATTATGCAAGAGCTAAATCTGCCTATTGCAGGTCTTTCTTATCACACGAAGATAATCAACTCTTCATGCCATCTGATGGGTCTGATTTTCTACAGATTTGAATCCATCTGTGGTTCAATGGCTGTTGATGATTAACCGTAATAATGGATAATCGAGACATTGTTTATTATTGTAAAACTGTAAGTATGACAATCGAGGCTACAGTATTATTAAATAAGGATTTCTCAGCTAAAAGTGAAGTAATTTAATTTTCAGCATATCCCCTTTACATTATCTATTTGTTAACTATTATAGCAAGAACTGTCAGCTCTTTATCTAATCTTCCATATTGCTGATTTAAGGAATATCTGCATGAAATACACAAAAACTGTACTTTACCCCCAATGACCTACTAACAATAATAAACTCTGATATTTACAGTCTAGTAAACATGCAATACACAAAAATATGCCCCATCCCAAAAACCTGCAGACAATTAATCTAATGAGGGAAAACACAAAAATATACCCCAACCAATGTCCTCCTGATAATAATAAAATATGATAATTATGCTAACAATCTCATGGGAGTCAGCATGGAATACACAAAAATTATACCCCAGCCCACTGACCCAGTGACTAATAAACCAACTACCATCCAGGAAGAATTCATGTATTTTGGGGACAAACAGTCAATAATCAACTGTGGTATATCAAGTATCTGAAGGAATCCACATGAAATACACAACATCTACACCAGAATCAAATGTGGTATCTGCATTATAACCCACAGTTTTGTTGGAAATATTAAACATGGCATTGAAAAGAACCCTATACATGGATTGACAAAGATACCTGTAAGAGTCTTGAAATGTTGCATGCACTAAAAACCTATAAGTAAGTCCATAAAGTTGTATTATATCATCAATACATACACTTGACTGATATAATTTTCATAAGGTATTATCTATATGGAATATACATACAAACACTTCAATACACTTGGTAAATTGACAAGAGCCCCCAAATATGTTCCCTTTACAAAATGTTCCCTTTCTATCTTCTCTTGGTCTCAGTCATCTCCATGTATTGTTTGTTTTACCTGTGATATATTGTACCTTTACCCTGCTTTGTCTAAGAGTACAAAAATGTTATTTTCAAGAACCCCAAAATATGGAACTGTCTGACAATACAATTTCCATTTTTATCTTCAAGGAAATATAAATCAACGCATCTAATGGTGAGAAACAGTTATGCTAATGGGATTATTCATAGTCACTTAACCAATTAACAGCTAATTGCTCTCTGCACAGATGCATGTCATGGTTGGCTGAATACACCAAAAGAAATATTAATTACTGTTTGTTTGGGAAATTCAAAAGGTCCAATTAACTGAAACAATTAGTCACTCTGGGTACAATGTATCCTCACCCTAACAATCCCATGGTGTTTATGTTCAAAAGATATTGGTCAAATGAATCACCATGTCACTGTCATTTGTTTTGTTTATTTTTAATCCACCTTCTGTCCATTTTTTGGACTGTATGAACATTGGTACTTGAGAAATTTGAAATCTTTGAAACATGTCATTTTAATTTAAAGTGTTATTGTTAAAAAAAAATATATTTGTCATTTGTATTCTTTAACTAATGATTTGAAAAATAGTGAACGGCAAATATATTGTTGATATCGGTTTTCAGATACAATCACAGAATTGAATTTTTTTTTTATTTATCAAATCGTTTCTAATTTTAATGTGTATAATAATATTGCATGACATGTTGAGGCAGCCAGCAGCTTATATTACATAAACTCCCCTAACAGTAACAGACTAGGCCACTACTGAGCTGTCCCAGTTTCAAGAATTGTCAGGAATATTTTCTGAGAGTAATTCCAAAGTGAGTCATTTTCATAATTAAAAGATGTTGTGCTAATATTCATAGTAAAACAATACTAACCTGACAATTATATAATTTTCTTAATTCCTCATATATCCAATCTTCAACTGCTAGCCTTTTTCTAATAAGCATCATTTGATGTTGTCCATATTTTGCCGTGAGGTATTTTTGTTTCTTCACTTTGTCTTCTTCTCTCTTCTCATGAAAATTAACAATCTTTGAATTACTCCCAGGAGAACTTCTAACAGCTGTGTGATCCGACATTTGCGGTGATCTTTGTTGAAAACTACTTTCTATATTGTTTGAAGCGTAACTTTGTTCATTAGCGGCTGGACTAGAGTAGGAAGTCGCCATAGGTTCTACTTCGTAAAAGCCAACACTCTTTCTAAACAATTTACGGCTCATATTGTATTTGTATGCTTTAGCTGTAAGAAAAATTGTTCCGCTTATTAAATATGGTTTAATCACCGATTAAAATATTATTTTATACATTAAAATGGTAATGGTATAGATTGACAACGCTTAATTAATGATAACAGTTTTTATTTACATTTGTATACATTGTTTATAACATGAACTACTTTGTACCACATTGCATCTTTGTATGACTACGCAAACTAAAACAAGTTTTGTACGCATGCGCCGAATGAGAAGCCATGATGTTTTGATCTTGTGCGGCAATATATTCTACCGACTCGTCATGCAATTTATGTAAAAATGAAGTTTTTATTGGTTCTCATTTTGGTGATTTCACCTATAGTACTATGCAAAGAATCAATCAATGATTTGGTACATCTTTTGGACGATCCCAAGACCTTGTACGAAATTGTGAAGCGATTAGGTGACAGCGATTTGGCTTCAGAACCAGATTATGACAGCAAAACACCGAATGATAATCAAGATTCTTCGGAGGGTTGTAAATACAAAAACTTTACGAAAACAATTATAAAAACAAAAGCATCTACAAAGGCTGGCGCTCAATTTTTAGATTCAGTAGATGGACTAAAAAGCAATTATGAATGCGTTGAAAGGTGCTGTTTATTAAACGGCTGTGAACTTGCTGTGTATGAAAATAAGGTGAGTGGCAGCTGAGTTGAGTGTTCCGAGGCATCATAAATAGAGCAATGCCATTATGACATGCTTATATAATTATGTAACATAGAATACTTGGAAAAAATTCGATAAAAGAAATTAGAAGTCGGTATTCACATTGAAATGAAATGGGTTTTAAAGTCCTACGTTTCTGCTCAGTCATACATACATGTAATCAGGTATATTGTATTTTGTAAGCCACACCATGGACTAGGGAGGTAAATTTTGTGTGGCCAGGGTTTTCAGTCATTCCTCGTCCAGGTCCAAATTCTTTTTCCTGTTTGCTCACATGTACCTTTTTTTTTTGTCACATCCAAACGACTACATGTAGATGCAGTTCCTTGACATGCCCTCCCTTCTGCACTACTACTGCTAAGGCCAAGGCAAAATCACACTGAACAATCCCAAGATACAATTCCGGGATCGAACCAGGTACCTTATGTTCGTGAGCCAGAGACTTACTGAGTGAGCCAACATGCCTATCAAACTTTAAATACGCTGTTGATTGAAGATACTGTAAACATGACGAGAATATTTTGATTTAAAAATGGATATCACGGAAAGACCATTCATACCAGCAAATATGGCTTCTATTATTGTGGACCGTACTGTACTATTCATTGATTAAGGAATAATAGGCATCAGATGTTAATTGACTATACTATACATGTGTACATGTAAATGTTTTCAAATCATAGTATGCCATATGAAATGTAAAATTATTGCTGTTTACTTTTGCTGCCAATTAAAAGATGAATTCTCGAATGAATGGTAAACTTATTCATCAGATCAGATGGATTTTCATACATGCGTATATCACTGTTGGTCAATACACATGGATGATATTTAAAATATAAACTCTACTCTTTGTACATTTAGCCTAAATATTTAAAGGATGGTATGCAATGTGGTGTGAATTTTAAAAGGTAATGCTAAAGTACCGTTCATCAGTTGAGTGACTTAAAAAATATTTCCATTACTAATTTTACCAGTATTTCACATGTAGTGAATATCCAGGTTAGAGATCACGTACCGTAATGTATGTCATGAAAAAAATAAGTAGACAGATTCTGTATTTGCTGCCATATTTCAATGAAAAATGAAAATCATACTGTACCTGGTATGCTGCTGAAACGAACTGTTAATCAATCAAACACTGTGTTCTAAATCTACCTACAAAATGCAATTTCACACTTTTCAACTCTTTTTAAAAAATCGTCTTGACCATTCACTTGAACAAACAGTTTGTTAATAAATACCTTCAAGTGGCCAAGTGCTACTTTAATTTTAGCCTAGAGCTATATTTTTAAACAAAGTGACCACTTTTTGATTCAAATCTTGATCAAGTCCATGCACATCATTGGACAACAACTAAACAAACCTCCATTTGTGTCCTAGGGCTAATTGTCTCAATTAAAGTATTCTCTTTTTGTTTACACTATATGGTGTCTCATGCCTCACTGATTTCAAAATAATAATTAACATAACAGTATTTTATCCCTATCCCTATTTCCTATTGGATTTTAGTAGGCCCTGCTGTAAATTAAATTCAAATGCTATAAATAGATAAAACTGATTATGATCATGGTCAGGGTGATTGTGATTAATACAGGATCTTCCTGCTTCATCCCATTTCATCTACATGTACGTCATTAATGATTTGGTTTCAGTTACAGCATTAAATACACACTAGAATTTTTAATGTCATGTCATGCTCAAATAGTCATACCAGTCATAAAATAAAAATTTAGAAATATGTGTTGCAATACTGAAGACGTGACAATATTAGACTTCAATGTGGTTTGGTTTACTTCACAAAATTGTTCAAGTGTCAAATTGTTTGATATGATAAATTATTTTATTTGCTGAAAATTTCAGACAAATTGATCCACTCTGAACTGAGAATTTGGCGATTGAATTTTCGGCCTAGCCTCGATCATCATGACTAAAGTCGGTACAAGTTGAGCAGCAAATCGGATCCTAATCCAGTAAATATCGCATGCTAGCGATGACATCAAGAGTTGATTATGGTCTGGATAAGTTAATTAATGTATGTCTAATTAATAACTAAGATAACATTTCAGACCTAAAGAAAGAAATACAGTTGGCAGATTTAGTCCTTGGAATATAAATGTACACTAACATTATGGAACCCTGTATTTTAAGACCTTTCAAGACAAAGCACGTGTACTTTACATACAGTGTCTACATATATACCAAGGCTTTGAATTGGGATATCTTGGCATTCTGTTTACTTTAGTACGCTTCTATATTTGATTAGGAAAATGATTAGTTATACCAAAAATTGAAAAAATAAACAAAAATCTTTTCCAGTAGATTTTTATTGTTGGCTATATAAACTTTTTTGAAGGAATGTATATTCCACAATATACATACGGGTATGTATTGTGTACCATGGCAGCAAGCATGTACCACAGTATACTATTTGATGGGCAATTCCGCGGCAGAAAATAAAAAATGCCAAATAAGAAAATTGATGTATATGAACCAATTTTGTTATATTAAAGTTCAGAAATGATGTCAATCAATGAATCTGGTAGAGTTAATTACACGCAAATTCTTTGGTCAAAAAAAAATTATGTCTAAGTCAAAACTTATTTTTCTTACTTTTTACTACAATTTTTTGCAATTTAAACACTGAAGTCTGCATCAGTTTTTGTTTACATAGAAAATATTTAATATTTGTTTTTTTTTACAAAGAAGTACATCTATTTCATCATAAACATCCATTTATATCATATTCTTTAGATCAATTCTTCATACAACAGTTTAAAATATACCCCCAATTTACACCGTAATTCCGTTACAATTCCTATCTAAAAGTTTCAATCATTTCTTGATTACCAAATTTTATAAGTTGGTGTTTCCAAATTTTCTAATTACTAATTGCACAGATATAAGAAAGGTAAGGGTCAGACACCTACATGAAGTGGTTTTCTTGGAAAAGCGGTAACGGATTTACAAATCTGAGCGGTAACGGAATTATGCATATTAGAATACCATCATTTCTATTGTTCTAATGACAAAATTACAAATTATGTAGAGGATAAAGTTAAAAGCAACATATTATTTAATAATTATACAACATTAGACCCATTTATGCTAACTCTTTTCAGTAAAACAAACTACAAAGCATTTTTCTGAACACAAAATACAAAAAGTGACTAATAACTGTACCAAATTTAAAGTTATCCTCGTGGTTACACATTTCTAAGCAAGGTGTGGTTTCAATGTATATTACATTGATATATCATATTAATATCTTTATTCATATAAAGTTTGCATGTTTGCAACAGTGTTGCAACATTGCTGAGACTCAATAATCACTTGACACAAAATTATCGGACAGGTTGCAAAATGGATGAGCTGAAATATTCCACAGAACATTACTTTATATCCTATTTTTAAGAAATGTAGATCTGTCTGTATAAATCACAGAGTTTCTTAAATAACCACAACCATCTAAATAAGGGGTTTTTGACTTGTAATTCCGTTACCATGGGGTTCACCTACACAGACACTTTATACGTTCATGCAGCAAGTCAGTGGCTATTTTTTAGAGAAAATATGCCTGTTACATGTAGCTCTCACTCTAGTACAGATTTGACAACAAAGTAGCTAAGGGTAATAATCTGTTAGTTGTTTTACAGTACCAAATAGCTCTAAATGTAATTCCGTTACCGTGGAATTGCCCTGATACCATGGCGCTAAGAATATACATTTGTACCTTGGTATAACCTATGTCTTTTTGCACTTCTAGATGTGTATAGGAGTTAAAGACAATGAAAACAAGTAGTAATTTACTAATGTAAAGAATGTATACAATGTTATTTAATATTAAACAGGCATTATAATGCAACAGCTAAATTTGCCTATTGCAGGTCTTTTTTTTGACTTAAAATGTTATATAAATGATTAATTAGACATTTACTAACATGACAACACTGTAAATGACGTAATCAACTCTCGATGCCATCGGATGGTCCCGATTTTAAGTACATGTAGATTAAAACGGTTTGGCCATTTAATGGTTTAATTTAAAAATGGAGAAACAGGGCTAAAAGACTTGACTGCCCAGTAGGCCTACAGTGGTTACGATAAATGCACATATCTTGTCAAAAATATAACCATTGATAACTTTGTTCAAAATAAAGTAATTTGATTAAAATTTTTAATATACTCATTTTGCATTATCTATTTTTGAATTATTATAGCAAGAACAGCCAGCTCTTTATCCCAATCTTACATAATGCCCCTTTAATGAATATGTATATAAAGAATTCAATATTATGCAATAGTGTTTTATATTTGTTGTCTACTTCTAAATGTCCTACCACTGTTTTTCTTGAATACAAAGCTCTCCAGCAAACAGACGAAAGTGACGTCGCGGACTTGGCAGTTTCAATTTGAAGAGGAATGTCGCAAATGCTGATGTCTAGGTGTTCATTGTTGTAGGTACAAATGTAATTGGGTAAAGCACTCAAAGCTAATCTTGATTTGTTAGGAAGGACTTCTACCAGGAAAACTATTAATTTAAATTAATACGCTTGTATTTGATTATTATTTCAGGATGATAGAAACTGTTATTTATTTGCCTGTAAAGAGAAGACAACTGGTAAAAATCTCTGTGAATTTGCAAGTCATGATGATTATATTTCTACAAGTGTCAGCCATTCCGTCAAAATTAAAGTTTCACAGGGTAGAAATAACCATGAGGATGACCTACAAGATTTATCAGATGGTAAAAAACCTGAAGTAAAAATACCCCCTACTCCCTCCCCTACTACTACTACAACATCTACAACAACAACAACAACTACCACACAAAAACCTGAACTACCCCATTCTGGTAGGTATATTCCAAAAGCGTGAAGGATCAATATGGTATTCATTTGTGCGTGTCATTTATTACAAATACATGAGGGGGGTTGGGTGGCTAAATGGTTAGCACGTGCTCGCTGTATCATAAAATCTGTTATTGAGTCAACTGGCATGGTTTCGAATCCCTGGTTGTACGTGACAAGGAGTAGGGTCGCCTGTGGGTTTTCTCCGTTTCCTCCGGTTTCCTCCCACTGCTAGAGACCCCTACGCGCAAGCAAATTATGGAAATAAAATTGAACCATATGTTAGTCCTGAAATGACCTAGTTTGTGTCGAGTGGACCTCTCTCTCTCTCTCTCACAAATACATGAATGGTATATGGATATAAAACACTTAATGTAGAGTTTAACTAAAAAAAAAATTTGTATAAAAATTACTACCCCAGTAAGATAATAATTTATTTGGATTGATGAAAAAAATCATGGCATCATTGCTATCATTGATCTTCACTATATCTACATCGTGATGAAAGATTGTCTCCAATTACCTATTAAGAAGATTAACTGAAGGACTTGAGATAACTTTAAACTGTTAATTGATGATTATGGTGTAATAAAATCACATGTAAGCCAGATAACCTCTCATTTGAAAAATCTGTATTAAACAAGATGAAAATTCAAATCACAAATACTATATCAAGTTTAGTCTTTATCTCTTAAATGAATCAGGGTGTTGGATGACCGAATGGTTTGCGTGTTGTATCAAAAAATCTGTCATTGAGTCAACTGGCTTGGTTGCAATTCTCCGATTGTACGTGATAAGGAGTAGGGTCACGTGTCCAACTTCGTGAGTTTTCTCCGGATCCTCCGGTTTCCTACCACTGCTAAAGACCCCTACACGCAAGCGAATTATTGAAATAAAATTTAACCGTATATTATTAGTCCCTAAATGAGTAAATGACCTAGTTTGTGTAGAGTGGAAGCTGCCTACTTGTAGAGGACCATCTGATGGGATCCGATTTGAAACAGATTCGAATGGGATCCAATTTGAAACAGATTCGAATTCGATCTGCGATGATTAACCGTAAAAATGGATAATTGAGACTTTCTATATTATCGTAACAATGACATCGAGGCTACAGTGTTATATTTTCAACTATTATAGCAAGAACTGTCAGCTCTTTATCTAATCTGCCTTAATGCCACTTTAATTAAAAATAATGTTGATATTGTATTCCAAAGAGAAAAAAATGTTGAATAATGTCTCACCTGTTTTATGGCTTAAACTGATATTTACACTATCCGTTATAATGTTGGAGTTGATACCTCTCTAGTCACCAGGTAGATATATGATATAGATATGTTGACGAACCCAGCCCTAGAACATGAACTAATTTTTTATAAAATATACTTGACTAAAGACTCATATATTTTGTACATGCCCATAAAATAGTGTCTGGTTTCTTAGTAGAAGTTATAAAGTTTCCGGGTTTCAACAAAACTCATAAGCATCGTATTCCAGTTTATGATATGATATCCAAATTTGTAAATAGCACGAAATGATGAATAACTCAATTGCGTATTTTTTACTGCATCAATACAAATTTTTTTTAAACATAATACACTTTATATCACTAGTATGTCATACTTCCATATCCAAGTTGATAAATAGCACGAATTGATAAACAACCAAACTGCGTATTATTTACAGCATCAATACAAAGATTAAAACCACACTTCCATCCATACATTTATGTCTGTCCTTTTCATTAAATAAGTTTTAAAATGAAATGGTATCTTTTCTATATGGTTCACCACTTCTCAAGGATTTTTTTTTCATTAGCTAAAAGACTGACCCACATTGATCCTAAGAGGTATATAGCTCATAGAAGGTTATCATATACTGAAAGGTTAGATGCGTGTTCATTTATATACATAACTTAAGTAAATAAAAGATAAGTAATGTAACTGATATCACCTATAATAATTCATAAAGTCATATTATATATATATACTTCAGGGTTCTCGTATATTCCACATATATGATATACATGAGGTTTTTTAAGCATTCACAATGTAATAAATATTTAAACAAGCAGACCGCAGGTATTTCTATTGTTACTGGTGTAAATCAAATTGAACATGTATATATATCCACCCTTTTCTTATCACCACAGGTAAATTATTATCTTTCACAACCATTCCAAACATTGATCAAAGGTGAAAAATAGTAGGAGCAATATTTATCTATTCTTCACCTGCTGTTATCTATATGCAACACACATGAAATTGAAAACAATAACCATTGTTCAGATGTGTTATTGCTACAAAATACTTCGAACTATTGATACATTCATTGAGAAACTTTTCAATTTAGATTGTGTATTGTTGGAATTTGTTATTCCTCATGTTCTTTTCATTTAGATTTATAGTCCATATTTTGATAGTCTTTTATACACATATACCAGTCAGTCATCATATGACTTTGTAACTTGTCTGAAAATAACAGTAATAAATTGGTAATCACAGGTAAAATGGGTGATAAACTTTTAGTACTTTTTCATTTCTCGGAAAAAAGGGGTGGGGTAAGTGGTGTCGCACAAGTGGTCTGAATGCATGGGTTGCTACGGATTCAATCCCAGCCTATATTTGAAACGTAGAAGAGTCATTTACTTAACTTTATGGGGTTTCTCGTATTTTACACACACCTGTAGTCAAGCTAATTATTGAAATAAAGATATATTGTATATTATTCCCAAAGTGACCTAGTTTGACATCACTGAGTGATTGTTAAACTTGCTCTCTTCCTGGTGCAATATTGATTTTTGTGGTAAAATTTTGGAATGTTTATTTTAGAGTACCAATCAAGGGTTTTATATAGTAAAGGTAGATAATTTGTTGTAAGGAGATTTTGTTTAAGGATTAGATGTATTTTCATGTTTTGTTTATTTATTAGTATTAGAGGATCTATTGTTTTTTCCTACACTACAAAGACACCAGTATTTGTTGTTTCTTTAGCTAACTGACTTGAGGTTTGAATCATTGTTTTCCTCCTCTTAACCTAGAAACAACATGGATTCTGTCATATACCCAAAAGACAAACACAAACTGCATGTAATATTGAGTTCAGGAGAACTGCAACTAGTGCACCACACATAAACAAACAGCAACACAGAAGACAAACCCACGGACAAGACACATCACACAAACTAGGTCATTTTGGGACTAACATATGGTTCAATTTTATTTCAGTCAATCACTGGCACGTAGGGGTCTTTAGCATTGGGAGGAAACCGGAGGACCCAGAGAGAACTCAAGAGGTTGGACAAGTGACCCTACTCTTTGTCACGTACAAGGGGGGAATCAAAACCATGTCACTTGACTCAATGATGATGGAACGTGCACGCTTTAACCATTCGGCCACCCAACTCGTCTATAAAGTATAAACATAAAAGTACTATCAGATCAAGTGAAATGGTTCTGGGTTCAGCAGTAAATGCCCACTGCACTGGTGTTTAATGCTACAGGTTTGAATGAAATTGACAACAAACCTACAACAAAGGAGGCAGTGTGTCTGTGGTCTTTTGGATGATTTTCTGCAAAAAATGTTAATTATCAAAAGTGGACATTTTTAAAAAATTGGTCCCTCTTGATATTTTACAATGACATTTTGTGTCCTTTAATTATTTCTTCCTGAAATTTGTGAATATACTGTTTCAAAAATCAATATTTTTCTTCTGTTGATATAGAAAGTTTAGGATAAAAGTTATGTAGTTAAGATGAATGAAAAAAAAAACCCAAAAAACATGTCACAGATTTGTTTACAAATAACTCATAATAAACATGTATTACTGCTTGCTTTGTTTGCCTTATTAGGGATTATCTCAACCTGTGGTTAACTTTTGAAGATTTCCACAACAATTTTCTTGCGGCTTAAAGCTGTAAGACGAACATGATTTTTGCCAAACAGGGATGAGTAAAGTTGTAAAAATGAAATAGTTTGTGCCAAATGTGGCTAATTAAAGGAGTCTTTTTACTCTCTTAAATTTTACAGATTTACGAACATTGTGTGTTAGATCACGTTTTGTGTGAGAAAAAATTGTTAGACATTAAAATTCAAAGTAATTTTTTAAGTCTCTAGTTAGTTAGGCTTAAGTTTTGAATTATCTGGTGAACGGCACCAATATATTCTAGAATTATTTACTGAAAGAATTAAAATAGTTGATTTTACCCTGATCTTATGATGTTAGTGCCAAGAAGAGCACTATGGATATGTACTCGTCAGGTACATGCCCAAAGTTAAAAAAAAATCTTGTTTTTGTTGTGTTACTAGACTAAACATTCATGCAGCATTTGATAGCATTGACTATACCCATCCATATATTACAAAGTTGTGTTGAGATCACCTGATCTTATTTAACTGACAGAACACAAACTGTTCAGATTAACAAATCATGTTCTGAAGAAAAATCTCTTGATATTGGTGTACCATATGGGTCTTCGCTTGGCCCCCAAATATTCCTGCTCTACATCCTACCCTTTGGAATTATAAACACAGCATCTCAAACTGTAAATTTGCACAGGTATATTATGCTTTCTGTCCACGTATAAATTAAAATTAAATTAGCGATTAAGCAAAATTGCTGGTAATATAATCATCATCAGTGAAAAAAATACCCTACAAGCATCCTATAATTATCTTTAGCGAAACAAAAGCCAAATATCAACATAATAGACCACTCATTGTCACCAGTTTCACATATGGCTTGATAATAAAGCTTATAAAACTCTCTTTTTACAGTTATGTGTGATATATTTGTTCTTACATTTTTATATATTGCAGTACCTCTTGGTGATAAATGTAGAAGTGAAATTGGTTGTGAAGATTCCCATGCTTTATGTATATCTGAAACATGTTCCTGTAGAAGTAACTATTATAATAAAAGGGGCACGTGTCGTAAGTAGATTTTATCTTATACTTATATCATTCTTTTCAAGCTTGGATGTTATGACAAAATATCAGGCAATAATAAACTAGTACCTGCCACTTTGAATTTTGTGCTGGAAATGCTTTAAAAATGTCATTGAAAAAAAAGAGAGAAAAAAAATCTCTCAATCAGTACCAAACTGGCACTGGAGAAATTATTACTGACACAACCTGAATTTGTGTCTGTGAGCGGGGCCTTATTTCCAGGTCTGCTTCTTTCATCGATAATTTACAATACAAAAAACTGCACTGTTAGATAAAGCATTTGTTGAACATGACTTTGACACAGTTTTCATCTGATTAATAACAGAGATAAATTCTGCCCTAATGCACAGTCATGTTTTCTGTGATTATTCTGACATTTGATCAAGTTTCATTGTCGTCCCATGGAAATTTGATAAACTATTTCATTTAGCATTGATTTTTTCTGAACCATCTGGATTGTCAAAGACACCTTCTACCGGTACTTGATTTATGAAACAATTCATTTATATACTTGCTATTCAGAATGTTTAAAAGATGCCTTAAAGACCAGAAATTGACTGTTTTAAGTTAATAGATAAGTACTAGATAAAAAAAGACTTAAACATGTTGGAGAATGTTAATGAATAGTAAAAATTCTGGTAATGTTGACACGCTTGTTGAATCTGTCTACTAGTTGTTCGACAAATACCAAACATTGATAGTCAATATTTGGTCTCCATTTTGTTTTTCTTAAGGTGAGGTTTGTGGACATTCCCGATTTGAGTGCCAGGTTGTTGGTCTTGACGGACCTGACTGCGTTCGTTTATCTTTAGTTTGTGATGGCACCAAGGACTGCAATGATGGGTCAGATGAGGTCAACTGTCAAACAGAAGGTGCGTAAACATTACTTCAACATACGGAGGCTTGATTTCTATTTTGGATATGGTCAGTGGCCAAACTTTATACCTGTCTAAAAGGTCATCATGTAAAACATTGGAGTAAACAATGCAAGTTTGTTTCTCTGAAGTACGAATGCAATATTAATTCTTTAAATTCTTTAAATGACATGAATAGAAGTGCAATATTTACAATTAAATTTTTGGCACAAAATATTTTAGGGTCTTAAAATATTTTGAAACAATTAATTACAGCTGCCCTACTCTACTGTTGTTGTCTAAGATCTATATATAATATAAAGAGGGCATGACATTTTAAATAAGATAACTAAGCTCCAATGAAAAAATCTTTTTTAAATTTAATCTTGTTTTTGTCGTCTTTTTAATAAATATGTTATGCTTATTGACCCCCACCGTTCGATGAAATCAGGGGACTATCAAAATGGGTTCGTTTGTCTGTCTGTCCATCACACATTTTGACACACAATAACTCTCCTAATTGAGCTGGAATGTACAAACTTGGTGTAGGTGTTTATAAGGTCGATGCCTTGATGGAGTCGGAAGATAAGCATTTTCTGCAAGGATAAGCAGAGATAAGCAATTTGATTGGTTGATTCTTTGGGACACGATAACGTTTAGTGAAATTTGGTTACTTGGTGCATAGTTTCATGATATCAATTCTTGGACTAAGTTCGATAATGAGCATTTTCTGCTCAGGGTAAGCAGAGCGATAAGCAGTTTGATTTGTCGAGACTTTAGAGCTAGATAAATTTGATCCTAATTGAGTGAGAGTGGTGAAATTTTGTGTATAGTTTCATTGCATCAATATCTTGACTAAGTTCGATGGTGAGCATTTTCTGCTTAGGCCAAGTAGATAATTCAATCTGATTGGTTGAGACTTTGGAATACAACAACTCTCCTTATAATTATGCGCTTAGAAACACTTCACGTGTAATGAAGCGCTATATAAATCGAACAATAATAATAATTGAGGTAGAATGTTCAAATTTGGTGTATGTGAATGGCTTTCAAGATAGTGTTTGATCATGCACATTTTCCACTAAGGCTAAGCAATTTGATTGGTTGAGACTTTGGAACTTGATAACCTTGGTTCTAATTGGGGGAGAGTAATGAAACTAAGAGTATAGATCTATACCAATACCTTGACTAAGTTCAATGATGAGAATTTTCTGCTTAGACTAACTAGTAATCAGCAGTTTGATTGGTCAAGATGTTGGAACATAACAACCCTGCTTTTAATTCAGGTAGAATGTTTAAACTTGGTGTAGATGTTCATTAGGTGAATGTCTTGACTGAGTTCAATGATTAACATTTTCAGCTACAGCTAAGCAAAGCTAAGCAATTTCTTTTCTTGATTCTTTGGAAAAGATAACTTTGATTCTAACTAACTGATGGAGAGTGATGAAACTTAATGTATTGTTTCACAACCAAGTACTTCAAAAGGATAATAACTGAGTTTGATCGTGAACATTTTCTGCTAAGACTAAGAAAAGATAATCAGTTTGATTTCTTGATACTTTTCAAAAAGATAAATGTGCAATTAGTATGTGTCATCTATTTGTTTTGGGATTTCGGTGGGAGACATCAGTCTCACTGTTGGCTTGTTTTAACATTCAAATTAATTATGAAAGTGTAGTTAGTAAAGAGTCTTGTTATATTAGAATTTAAACGCATGGGAACAAAGTTTATTTATTTTATTATGTTTCTTTAGTCAAAACAGTATGTTTGTAATTCTGATTAGTTCTGCAAATAATTTTGTTTCTTAGGACTAGTTTGTTAAATCATAATTCCTTGAACCTTTTTTTGTTTTACAAATTAAAAACAAAACAAATATTGTTTTTTTATTTATGAGAAAAGAAGAATGGGCTTTTGTGAAGATTTTATTTGTTTTCTTTTATCTATAGAGAGATACACAAGCCACAGAAACAAATATTTTATTTTAGACATGTAAATTTGTTGTTAATTATTTAGATCATAAACCCACATTCCAATGTAGTCTTTTAAATTTTCTTTTTACATTCTTTAGCTCCTCTTCCCAAATTTCCTTGGCATAGTAAATTTAGTGGATTTGGTTCTAATTTTGATTCCAAATTACGAACAACAGTTTTAGGCACAGCAACTCCAGAGGAAAATATTAACTCGTTGCCAGTTGTTCCTTCTGCAGATACAGCAGCCATAAATAGAGAATTCCATCAACAAAAGGCATCCATGGATGTTGAGAACCAAGAAATTCAGTCTAAGAAGCTGGATTCAGATATTCAAAATATTAAAGATCTGAGTCCTGATGTTAATTCTGAAGAAGATTCACACGTGAGACATGATAATGGAGACCAAGTATCGAATGACAACCAGTTGGAAAATGGAAGCCCAGAGATAATTGTGCCTACTACAACTTTCAGACCCGAGCCAATAGTGGTTTGGCCAGATAGTTCGACAGATGAAGAAGTTATTTTACCAAAACAGGATCATCATCAAAATTCTGTAAATCAAGTTATCAAACCACCAGAAAGTGTTTCTCCAAGAAAAGAAACAGCTTATCATTATCATGAAGAGGTGCCACTGGAGACCTACGTTCCTGATAGTAAATTCTCATTTCAAGGTAAAAAAGGACCAAGTTACTATGTAGCCAATCAGAAACAGCCGAATGATAATGATGTCAATGTCATAAGAAAGACGGATGTCAAGATAGTGAACCAGCCTAAACCAATCCCGACACAGAATTCTAGACCAGTACATGATGCCCACATGAGGACAGACCCTTTAGCTAGCAATTCTCAAGATGTCGATCTCCAAGCTCAACAGCCAGACATTCGAGGAAGAAAATATCCTGATAATCAGATTTATCAAGGGTATGGGTCATACAACCAACCTCAATATCGGCCACATTATTCACCAGATCTAACTGGCTCCGATCTGAATGATCGACAAAGGGACAGAACTCCATATAACAGAATGTATTCCAACAATAGGCCCAAACCCTATCAACCTCAACCATATCCTTCTCGTCAAGGTTACCAAAATCCACCACCAGCTCATAACCAGTTTCAGAATTATGTGTATGATTATCCAGACTATGAACCATATCAGAATGAGAAAGAAGACAGTGGTAGCTCAGATCGTCAATATTTTCCAGGTTTATTCAATATGTTTAATAGTAAAGGTAGAATAGATTAGATTAATCACTCATTATTTTCATTCACCTTCAGCAATATCTGTATTATGATCAAGTTAGATAACTATAGGTGGAAATATATTTTTTATTTTTGAAACAATTTTGCTATTCAGACATGAATTTTAGATGTTATATCAAAATTGATGAGATTACAATATTCAATATTGCAGTCCTTTTTCTTAAAGGCCCAAATACTCCTGACTAATAGTCAAATATAAATTTTCATATTAAAGAGCGGTCATACCACAAGCACATTGGTCCAAAGATTATTTTACAACATGTATTAGTGGCCATCTATGCTTCACTCTTTCTTCACTCGATTTCATGCTGCCATCCTTATATAGTTATTGTCTTATAGTTGTCTGTAAACAACTGAAGGATAACTCATCCATTTTTATCCATCAACATCAAAGTCAATATGGTATTTAACCAATTTTTTTCTTTTTTAATTTTCTAAATTACGATCTGAAGAACACTTACCACCACCTGAATTTGTTAAATATACATTAGGAAAATGTTTATTTGCCTTCTGGCACAATGTGTTGTAATTTAGATCAAATATTTTCAATAACATAATATCCTAAAGCCGATTATTTTATCTTCATGATCTGCTATTTTATATTGCATTCTCTATCAACCCCCAGTTGTTAAAATGAATCAGCCATGTTCAATTGTTATTTTACACTTGGGTGTGCTTTATCTACAATAGAATAAGATTTTAATATAGATAATGCTGATAATAGGTTTTGTCAATAATGTAAATTGTGATGTAGATATCGTGTCAGTAATTCTGCACCATTTGCATGACTTGTTGTTGTATTTGTAAATCTATTTATTTTACTGTAATACAAAGAGATTTAAAACTATTTCTGAATTATGATTAAAAACACTTATGTGAGTGCTTGAAAAATATTAAATAATCTTAGAAAAAGTTTTACATGTAATATAATACAAGGTATTCCCAGCACTAACAGTTGTGTTATATTCTTACTTTTAATGTCAATGCATATTGTCGTGACGTTCAGTTAAATTTTAGAGCAAGCCCATTTGACTTGCTGGCGTTAAGAGTATTAGGACATGTTGATATGTCAGGTCAACTTTCACATATTTTGTTATTATTTAGTGCCAATGAATGTCTATTTGTATACGTTCACATTGGTATTGTATTGCTGTTGGTCTGTTGTCCACGATATCTGTTAATTACTGTAAGAGTTACGGACCTTGCTTATTTGGTAGAAACTTGTTAAAGGTTTACTTTAAATTTATGTTGCTTATTTCAATTATTACAATGAATAACTATTTCAAATGATTACTCAAGAGTTATTGCCCTTGATTACATCGTTGAATCTTTTCATTGTGCTAAAATTATTATACAGTATAAAGACAACTTAGCTGATGTGGACGTGGCAACCGATCTTTTAAACTCTACACGTTTATAATTGATGTATAATTAATTTTTGCTGTTTCAATATTTATATTTCACATTAGCTGTCAAGTGGTTATGTTTATTTAAATCTTATATTTTGTTTTTGTTTACTTTAGATTGATGTCAGTTTTGTCTTTATTGGATTGTTTTTTGTTTTTTTCATCTATGTGTATTTTGTTTTTTTATATTCAATGTAAATGTTATATTTCAAGTATTCATAGTACCATGACATCTTTAATTTGTATTGAGCTGCCTTTTTAAAAGTTAACAAGTAACACCTGGTGACTAGAATAAGCATAACTTAAAGTAGCAATGTTGTTATTTATTCATAAAGCAAACCCTGTCTTCATTAGATCAGTCAGAGCAGAAAAGTAGGATGTTAAACCTCATTTCATTTCATAAAACAATGTTTGTATTGAGTAAATCATATTATAGCCATCTACAATGTACTATATTCTACGAATCTCCACATTTCACAAATACAGCATTTGAAAACTCAGTTTCTCAAAGTAGAATGTTAAACCCCATTTCATTTCATAAAACAATGTTTGTATTGAGTAAATCATATTATAGCCATCTACAATGTAATATATTCTATGAATCTCCACATTTCACAAATGCAGCATTTGAAAACTCAGTTTCACAAATTAGTATGGCAAGTACATTGGGGTTTTATTACAGTTTATCTAGATATTAATAAGGGATTGAATTTCAACAGGTTTTTATTTAAAGGAGGTTAAATTATTTTTTAACATTTATTACATGGGTAAAAGTTAATTAATGACTAAAAGTTTTCTGACTTCAATTCATACATTGGTTCTTTAAGATAATATAATTATATTGCTATGACTGTGCTCATCAATCAAAAACTTTTTATTTGTTATTTTAAGTTGTCAGCTCAGTAATAGTTAAGGGTTGAATGTACAGAGTATTTACTTATATAACTGTGAGCACTTGATAATTATGTGGATAGTATGCAAATATACTAATATTTTTTTATTATTATTAAAGTGCTGATCATTGTAGTCTATTCTTTAAGCCCTCGAAACCACCCAAAGAAAAGTCATGTTGTTTTTTTACATAGAGTTTTGAAGCTCCTTTTGAAAATGTCCCAAAATATTGCTTCTCAAACAGACATAGTCACATGAATAGCTGTGGACTATTGAAGAACTAGTTCTGCGACTCAGTGGTTCAGACAGTCTTGGGAGTGGCATAGGGCTGTTTCAAATATCAGCTGCAAATCTCAATGTAAAAAAAGACACCATTTTTGTCTGATTTTTTTTCTGGGAACTGTGGTATTATAGTCAATATTTGCATGTACCAAGTGCTAAAAGATTAAGCATCCCAATAAAATCCCACAACAATAATTGTTTTATAAACGTTATTTCATTTTTTGATTGGCAATTCATATTCCTATTTAATATATAATTTATTACAATTAAAAAGTGACTTCTATTTAACTATTTATTTATTCTTTTTTCTTTTAGATGGTAAAAAGACTCCAGGTAAAATACCAAACACAGAAGTTAAACCACATACGTCACCAAAAGGTAAAATCAAATTCTTCTATCACTATCAGATCTTTCTCAGCAGATATTCTATAATATAATGCTTTCCGGTCAAAATTCACCTCCCTACCATTGTATTATAGTAAATACAAACAAACCATATATTATTTTACTTGAAACAGATCTTTGCAAATTATCTGAGTTCAGTTCACATACCCTAAGTGTGTAAGTATCTGATGTAAAACATTTCTTTATAATTCAGTAATGTGCAGGTTGTGATTGGTAGACTCCTGATCAACCTACCAATCAACACATGTGATCCAAGCATGCTGGAAAATCTTGTAATAGGCTTTTATTTTCCTGACATTTGATTCGCTGTTTAATATACGTCAGTGGTACATTTAATCCATAGTCACAGCCCCAGAATACACAAAACTTGAGCATGTTTTTAGATATTTATGGGGGTGACTAACTAAATAAACTGAACGAAAATATCAGATTGGTATATGAAATAAAATCATTATCTTATTTACTTATTCACCATACTTAATATCTTTAAAATATTCCAGAAACAGATACATCAAAAGAAAATCATGTAAAGACAAACACCCAATCAGAAGAAAAATCAACATCAGATGCAGACAAAACACATAAATCAAATTCGGTGGAAACAGACGAATCAAAGTCAACAGACAATAACGAATCAAAGTCAACAGACAATGATGAATCAAAGTCAACAGACATAAACACACCAAATTCAGCAGACACTGACACATCCAACTCTGAAGAAACAGAGAAGAACACAGATGAGAAAGATAACGAGAATAATCAAACAGATAAAAATACAAAAATACACAATGATAAGGTGACCACTGTTGAAATAGATACCATCCAGGAGCAGTCATTGATTGTGACAAAAGAAAAGGTTATTGTGGCCAGTCCTATTAGTCAAGCAGAGGGACCAATCATTGCTTTATCTCTTGGATTAGCCTTAACTTTCATATTACTGGTTTTTGTTGCCTGTAGAATGAGAACTATTAAAAGGCGATTGCGAAAAGGTCGCGTTTTACACAGCAATGAGGCTGATTATTTGATAAATGGAATGTACCTATAAAAAATATGACCACAAAAAATTTGAAAATGCAAATAAAATTAAACATTTAAATTTTGAGACAAAAACTTTTCTCATCATATATATATATCGTAAAGTTTTTTCGAAAGTAAACCAATTTGAGTAGATACTAAAAAGCTGAAGGTGAATTATGTATGTAAATTGTTTTCTCATTTGTTTTTATCCACCGGTGTGATAAAAGAAATAGACGATTTCTTTCATGGAAATAGACGATTTCTGGGATAGACATTTTAAAGTAATTGCGATTTGGTATTTTTTAAAATGTTACGGAAAATGTATATTGTATTGATTGTAAGAGAAACTTAAAACAAAAAGTTTGTAATGTAATGAAAATTAATTTGCAAGATGTATTATATTAAATTTTAACGACGGTCACTACCATATTATTACATTATATACATGATAATTAGAAAATAGTTAAACATCTATCTTTTTTACATTTTTATACATGCAGAAGTCTGCACCTAGATAAATATTTGACATTATATAAAAAAACATTATTTTGTAGACATCTATCCAATCCCAGCTTATAGATCTAGATGTAAGAATTAAAAACATAATGCACTAGCTCTTCCATAATTAATGTACATAGATATAATTATGAAGCATGTTCTGTGTATTTAAATGTTTAGTGTTCATGATTATGCTACTTTCATTTTCAAGGACTACCTGTGATGGTCTGCCTTAATGACTTAACATTCCTGTTATCTAGTTCTCATTTTAAAATCAATTATCAGAATTTACTCAACACATAATCGAAATTGATAATGTGGATATCACAATTTGATTAAAATGAGACATCACTTAAGTTAGCATTTTCTTTGTTATTCTACTTGACCTAACAAATTGTATGTATGTATTGTTTAGAGGGCTAAGTAATGTGGTAAAGTTATAGGATTGTATGCCATAAATATAACTCTAGTCAGAATAAAGTTTTAAAATTAGAAAAAATAAAAGAAGCAAAATTGTAATCAAATTGTAATCAGATTGTTTATATCTTAAATTAAGGGAAAACAAATATTGAATTTCTCTGTGAAACTGGTATTGTGTAACTTGATAAATACTTGTACTATGGAATTCATTTCGTTTCACTTAACAACTTGCAGAATATGATCAGGTGCTACATACACACCTGCCCTAAATTGACTAATGTATTTCTGTGAATGTAATATGTTTTTATTTGTAATATATATGCAATGCAGTGATAATCCATGATATTCTACTTAATTCAAATCCTATATTTTCGTATTGACTAACTGTAGAATTCCTTATAATGGGTAGACAGGGTTGGAAACCGCAACATGAAATTCAGGAAATGGAAGGAGAGATAAAGTTTGTCGATCAAACCCTCTCCTATGCACAATCTTGTGTATGCCTTTTTGGCAAAGGTAGGAATTAGAAGTGGCGTATTGTCAAAATAAATGTATGTGTATTGGCTTGTGATCCCTTCTATTATAATTATTGATAAATCCATTATTATGAAATTTACATTTACTTTATTTTCTGTTTATTCCTATATTATTTGTGTTCATATAATTTTAACTTTCAGGCCTGGGGTCATGAATTTAGCTTTTGCTTAAATGAAGAAAAATCAAATTTTTGTATTAAGTTGAAATATATGCTATTTTGAATTACAATTACATATTTTACTTTAAAGTGCAACAAACAAACCACTGAAATTTAATTAACACTTAATAAAGATAAGATTTTTTGGCATAGGGGATCCCAATTGACCCCATATTCCTTCAAATCAAACTTGTGTCGCATAGGGCATCATTTTATTTTCACATTCGTTCAAATCAAGTTTTTATGGTATAAGGCATCCCAATGGTTTCCACATTCCTTCAGATTAACCGTTTATGGCATGGGGAATCTCAATTGTTCTCATATTCCTTCAAATCAAAAGTTTATGGCACAGCGATCCCAATTATTCTCACATTCCTTCAAATCAAACTTTATGTTATTATTGTTTAATTGTTTTCCCATTCCTTCAAATCAAACGTTTATGACATAGGAATTCTCAATTGTTCTCATATTCCTTCAAATCAAACGTTTATGGCAAAGGAATCCCAATTGTTCTCACATTCCTTCAAATCAAACTTTATGTTATTATTGTTTACACTGTATTTAATTAGTTTATTAATGTTTTTATTCTTTATATTATACTCTTATTACAATGATGAAAATATTTATTTCTTATTAGAACTATCTATGGTATATTTATTAGGCATTTGTGATATAACTTTGGTTGTGTTTAACTTTTCTACCATTTTTCAACAAGTTATTTTCATTGAATAAAAAGCCATATTCTCTTTGTAGTTAGCATAATGTGAATGTAATAGACACAGTTTGGCTTTTTTCTAGTTAATAAGGAAAATTGTGAAATAGTAATTGTGTGGTTGCATGTACCTATGTAATAAAGACCAGTTCGAAAAAACGAGAGAAATATTATCTCTTTATGTGTGATATTTCTATAAAAAAAGACAAATATTGGGTTAATATTTTCCAAAACTTATTTTCCTAGCAAGTTAACTTTGTGTAGATTTATGTACTTCTTCAATCTGATTAAAACACAGATCCTATTTTGTTTCATTTCTTAGAGTTCAAAATTTCGTTTTACTTGTCCTTACTACACTAGGATCTGGAAGAGTTGTTATATAACCCACATTCTGAGAGGGATTAGCCAATGAAACGGTCTGTTACAGCGAGTGTTTGGTGTGTGATGCATGGAACTATGGGTAACCCACTAGAAACATCAACACTGATTGGTTAATCAAATGTCTGACGTCATAGGGTCAAAAGTCGCTCGTATGACCTCTGACACAATCTTCCACTACATCCGGTCAGATCTTCATGTAGTGTAGGCCATCGAAAGTATAAAAAAAACGGAACGAAATATACATCTGTATTTTAATCAGATTGATACTTCTTCAAGTTCATGCATGCAACCACAGAACTGGCACTGTTCCTTAAGGCATTCACTTGCAATGAACATATTTTAGGCTATATACTATTGGAATAAAATGTTGCTGATCTGAGCTAAAGAAATTATTGTGAAGTTCCTGTGATGGACTAAAATGTGGATAAAATACACAATTCTATTGAACAACTTTCAAGAATGGCTTAGAATTCAGCTCAAAATTTGTAGTACTGGGCCCTTATTCACGAAAACTTAAATTAAGATACAATCGAAATTTTAAGAAATACTGCAATTCGATTGGCTGACTAGTAAAATCAATTTGCATATATCCAATGAAGTTGCAGTATTTCTTAAAATTTTGGTTGTAACTTAGTTTAAGTTTTCGTGAATAAGGGCCCAGGTACTTTCTTTTAAGATTAGTCCATTATGCCTCTGCATGGAGTCTTTACAATAATTTCAGACAGTTTAAAGAGAACTGTTTTTGATATATGTATTTTTGGCCAGCGAGCGCCTCAATCTACAAGCATTATATTTCAGTGTGTTTATTTATATAGAAATAGATTGTTAGTACTGTACTGTTGTCTGTGATAACAACACTAATGAATAATAATGTTAATAAACTATTTTTCATGTTAATATTTTGTTTTTTCCCGCCTTTCGAGGGGGGGGGGGATGAATGGTTAGCATGTGCGTGCTGTATCATAAGGCCTATCATTGAATCAACTGGCGTGGTTTCATTCCCCGGTTGTACGTGACAAGGAGTAGGGTCGCCTGTCCAACCTCATGGGTTTTCTCCGGGTCCTCCAGTTTCTTCCCACTGCTAAAGACCCTTACGCGCAAGCAAATTATTGAAATAAAATTGAAATGTCCTAGTTTGTGTTGTGTGGAGGTTAAACCCCATTTCTCTCTCTCTCTCTCTCTCTCACACTCCCACCTTTCAAAGAAAGCAGGGTGTTATTAAAATGGATCCGTCTGTCTGTCTGTCCGTTTGTCACATTCTTTGGGACACAATAACTTTCCTTCTAATTGAGCTAGAATAGTCAAACTTGGTGTAGGTGTTTATTAGGTGAATGCCTTGATGGAGTTCGAAGATGAGCATTTTCTGCCAAGGGTAAGCAGAGATAAGCAATTTGATTGGTTGATGCTTTGGGACACAATAACTTTGGTTCTAATTAAGTGAAAGTGAACAAACTTGACATATAGTTTCATCACATCAATACCTTGACTAAGTTCGATAATGAGCATTTTGTATTCAGGGTAAGCACAGCAATAAGCAATTTTATTGGTCGAGACTTTGGAGCTCGACATCTTTGATTATAATTGAGTGATAGTGTTGAAACTTTGTATAGTTTCATTACATCAATACCTTGGGCAAAATAGAGACTATAACCTGTTCAATATTGGTGTAGGTGATTAATATTTCCCATTAAAGCTAAGTTGTTTATTTTGGGATTTCGGCGGGGACATCAGCCTCACTTGTAATTTAACGTGATAGCTCTATTACAAGCCAGTTGTAAATGGCAACACTAAATATTATATATATGTGATTTTATAAGTTAGATACAAATATCATTGAAAAGTTTTCATACACAAAATTCATTATGGAAGCGTATTGCTACACTGTGGCAAAGTATAATCTAAGATTCTATTTAGGCTTTGATATTTATGGTAAATGGACATCAACTAAGGACAAATACAAGCTGTAAATGAATTTGCCCTCATGCCAGTTGACTCAATGACAGACCTTATGATAAAACGCACACGCGCAAACCATTCGGCCATCCAACCCCCCCAAATTGCTGCGGCGCAAAACATCATACATTCAGAGTAATAGTATTCAACTAACTTGTCACTCTGTATTTACAGACTTTGAATACATTTGAATGCCCTAAAGGATCCATGGTACTATATTTTCAGCTACATAAGCAGTGACTTCTTGCTTTATATACCTATCGGCGATATCACTCTGGTGGAAGTAGACTTTAAGCCCAACTTCAAAAAGAAAAGAAATGGAGTTTTAACGCCCTATAATTCTGCTCCGAATGAGCTAATGAAGACAGGCATATGCCATACAGCTTACTCTTATACTGATTTCTCGCTGCCAAGGGATCTATTATGTGCACACCCGTGTATACATGGGACCACGGTCCTGCACTACTGATAAGGAGGAACCACGTCAGAAAATCCTGATGAACTTTCTCTGCCAATGCTGGGATAGAACACAGGACCTCCAGGTTAGCGTTCCAACGTCTTACTCACTGAGCCACCGTGGCTCCGCACGGCTTTAAGTCAAGCTTCATATACAGTACTAATTCTGTATGATCAGGCAAAGAGGGAAATCTGTAAAGCTTTTAAAGTTTATTGAACAATAAAATATTTACATAACAAGTTATGAAAGCTCAAATAACAGTAAGACTTTATTTAATAAAGAGAGCAATTTAATATAAAATAACAATCCTACTCTCTGTATTTAAACTAATAAATACAAATTCAATTCACCACTCAATATCAACGACCTACTATGGAAAATCCCTCTATTGGTTTAAGAGAATTTTTCTATTTGGGTAAATTTTTATGAATTCCACTTATTGTTATTAACTACTATGGAAAATCGCTCGATCGGTTTAAGAGAAATTTTTTTTCTATTAAGGTAAATTATTTGAATTTCATAGTTTCATTCAAAATACAAAGAATGTGGATAAGAACATACTACATATATATATATTTGTTTACTATTAGGATAAGATCTATATATTACTATTGCTTAAGGGGTCTTTGTAACATATCCCAAGTACCTTTCTGTGCATGTAAATCTATCTTGGTACACAGAAATGTACCTTGCCTACCTTTCTCTGTTGTGCTTTATTTGACAACACCCCCTTCAACATCACTATTAATTATTTCCACTACTATCCGAAGGGATCTTGTAACATATCTCGGGTACTTTTCTGTGTAGGCAAATGTATAATGGCTGAATGCAGTTTTAGTACACAGAAACATACCCTGACTACCTTTCTGTAGTGATTTATAGGACAACGCCCCCTTCAACATTACTATTAACTATTTCCACTAAAAATGTCCCTCTTCTGAAACTCCTTTACAGTTTCCTACTGCCCTAGACTGTATCGTTTGTGAGTATTCACAATAGCTAATCGCCACACAATCATATTTTGGGGGTAGGGAAATGATTCAACAACAATTTCAGTACAGGCTATAAGTTTAGTCATTGAAAATCATTATTTCTTTAGTTTATTTTTACTAATAAATATTAATCTTATAAATTTATCTTGGAATAAAACTAAACATTTATTTTGCTTTTTTTTCCTAATAAATATCAACTTTATTCATTTTTGGGGGTAGGGAAATCATTCAACAACAATTTCAGTACAGGCTATAAGTTTAGTCATTGAAAATCAATATTTCTTTAGTTTATTTTTACTAATAAATATTAATCTTATAAATTTATCTTGGAATAAAACTAAACATATAGTAGGCCTATTTGTATAACATTTCTTTTGCTTTTTTTTCCTAATAAATATCAATTTTATTCACTTGGAATAAAACTTAACATATAAATCTTTTTTAGTCTATTTCAATTTACAGGAATCAGAATAGCAATTCCTACTCTTATCAATTTTTATATTAATGTTCTTTCCACTGAAAACAAAGACTAGATTCAAGTCAACTTTTATCTAAATAAAGTCAAAGAAAACTACAATCCATTATAACAAAACACAACACAGGGTATATGTATAGTTTAATGATCGAGAGCCAGACATTAAGTAATATATTGTAACAACAAGAGGGCTGTAGGCCCGAGTGTTTTTGCAATATATTACGTAATGTCTTAAGCTCGAGACTATCAAACGACCTAAAATACAGACACTCTGCACGTGCTTTTGCAAAGAAATGTGTCACGCGAGTCCAGTATTTCACTAGTATAAATAATGTATGATTGGCAATTTGCCCGTACCATTATTTCAAATAATGGTACGCCAAGATCAAAGGATGACGTCACATCTGTATTTTAAATGGATATAACTACTTCTTAGTTATTGACGTTTTGTAACACATGCAGGTCACTGTTTTTCAAGTTTGAAGTTAATATTAATTTGAAAACGTGACCAGCATGTGTTACGAAAAGTCTTTATTACTTAACTGAGAAGTAGTTATATCTATATATCCATGTTTTGTTATAATAGTTCACCGTACTTCTAGATGTCATTTAAAGAATTAAAATTCAATTCAGTCGTAACTAAGTTCTAATTATCATTTTGCCGGATGGTTGGGGTATTTTATCTTTAATCTAGAAAGAAGCTGGGTTGAAACTATCTTCAGATGTTACACAATTTTCAGTGGAAACAGCATTTATATACCTATATATAGTATGTGACATCCGTTTTGTTAACACAACCTTTTCAGTTTAACATATCTTGTGCCGTTTTATAAAAATGCATCGTAACTAAATATACTTAATTTAATTGAGAACTAACTTTTGTGCACAGATTTTCCCTCTTGGGCAATCAATGAAAAGGTTTCATGAATAAGTCCCATCCAACTCCTAGCTGTGGTTGTTTCTAGAATGGCCAAAAATAGCTACTAAGCAAACTGTGTAAAATTGTGTAATGGCTGGATACAAACTAAAATAGCAGGAAGCAAGAACTTGTGTCTTCTTATAAATCCACCTTCCTTCTGAAAATGAAATTGGTAAAGAAATATATTAGACCATAATCAAAATGACTACAATTCACAAGGTATTCATTATGACAAAATTTTAACAACTTTCCCATTTCAACAAAATAAGATTTAAAAAATTTTTATTAATATGTATGTGGAGTTGTGGACCAAGACTAGTAATTGCTTCCCCTGAATTCATGATACATGAATGTAGCTCATCTATTTATAGCAATTCTATTTTCTTTCTTTTGTCCCCTGTTGTGTGTCATTTTTCTTTTTTAATTTTTAGTCCAGAATTGTAGAAAAAAATTTTAATTTACATTTTCGTTGAAGGACATGAAGTTGGGTAAGCATGTTACAAAAATGACCACAAAAGCCAAATTCCTTTGACTTGGCATAGGGAAAAATGAAAATATTCAACCCTCTTCAACATTTTTATCAGATGATTGTGATTTATTAGGCCCTTTGTGGTTATAAAGATTAAGATCATCCAAATTTTTGAAAAGAACGTTATAGGTAAAGAAAAGGCAATGAAAAACTTTCTTCAAAGTAAATAGAGAGGGAAAGGATTATTAGTCTGAATCCATGTAAAAACAAAAACAAAACAAGAGTTGCTTCCCCTCACCTTTCGGTTATAACTGTAGGGGGGTTGGGATGGTCTAGAAGTCCAGAGTGTTGCACTTCGAAAGTTGCGATCCCTGGTGTGAGCTGTGAGCGTACATGATTTGGAGATAGGGGTGCCTACTCAACCTTGTGGGTTTCCTCCCCCAAAACAGACTCCCGCGTGTGCGCTAAGCATACTAATTAAGACAACTTGTCTGCAATTTCACAATCGGTAGAAGCAGAAGTTCAACACTAATAGAAAAGGCAATGAAAAACTTTCTTCAAAGTAAATAGAGAGGGAAAGGATTATTAGTCTGAATCCATGTAAAAACAAAAACAAAACAAGAGTTGCTTCCCCTCACCTTTCGGTTATAACTGTAGGGGGGTTGGGATGGTCTAGAAGTCCAGAGTGTTGCACTTCGAAAGTTGCGATCCCTGGTGTGAGCTGTGAGCGTACATGATTTGGAGATAGGGGTGCCTACTCAACCTTGTGGGTTTCCTCCCCCAAAACAGACTCCCGCGTGTGCGCTAAGCATACTAATTAAGACAACTTGTCTGCAATTTCACAATCGGTAGAAGCAGAAGTTCAACACTAATAGAAGAAGACGGATTACTCATTCAGAAAAACCTATTATACCATAGAACACAAATCTAAATATTTTGAACGAAAGAGTGGGGGGGGGGGGGATTTACCCCCAGAAAAAAACTTAAGAGAGAGATAAAGATTATATTCCTGCAACAGCTATGCTAAAGCTCTGATATGTTTAAAGGGACAACAAGACAGAAGAAAAGAACATATAAAACTGTCTAACATGGACATTTTTTTTTTCATGTCATGTATAATTTCAACAATAATTATTAAACATGATTGTGTGAAACATCTAATTTGTCAGAAACACACATGAATATAGTAATAAGGATTTCAAATTCTCTGTATCTATATGGTATGGACAGCAACATGTACCAAAATGCGATAATTTGTTGGGTGTGTCTTAGCATAATTTATCGATCAAGCTTATTCTATTGGACTCTCATGGCACAAAATATATAGCAGGGTTCTCAGACCCAATTCTTTTGGGGGGAGAGTCAAAAATCATGACATCAATTTTATATCCAGTTCTATCAACTCCCTATGTATTCAAAATAATAAACATTGTTAGGGTACCCCCACCCCCATAGTCTTAACTTAGTTTCTCCAATTTTTCGTCACTACTAAATAAACGTTCAAAGTTGATGGGGCTTTAGATGATGAAATTTTCATTGGCCTTCTGTCTTGTTGTCCATTTAAAGAATTTTGGGAATATTTGGAATACCATGCCAAGAAGGTTATGAGTTATCTCCACCTGGGAACCTGTTTTTCTTTGCTTGTTAGAGGCACATATATTACACCCATCAAATTCTTCTTGACGACCTCACCATTCAACAGACGGTCAACTTGGAGTAATTTCTGATTTTCACCTTGGTTACCAACTGGTATAATCAGGCGACCTCCAGGCTTTAATTGTTCAACTAACTACAAGCGTAAGAAAAAGGAATCAATTACGAGCGTATATTCTTATTATAATAACAGGAGAGAGACAAATGGGGTTTAAACGTTCATTCGACACAAAGTAGGCCATTTCGGGACTAACAATATGATTCAGTTCTATTTCAATAATTCGCTTGTGTGTAGGGGACTTTAACAGTGGGAAGAAACCGGAGGACCCAGAAAAACCCCACGAGGTTATTGAGACAGGCGACCCTACTCCTTGTCAATAAATATAGAATACATTGCTGATGTCGAACCATGATGGTGCTAGCTCACAAAGAGTATCATGGCGCTGGCTCATAGTGAGTATAATGGGACTGGCTCACAGTGAGTATGATGGGACTGGCTCACAGTGAGTATGATGGTACTGGCTCACTAACCAGGAGGTCCTGGATTCTATCCCTGTGTTGGTTGAGGATTTTCCAGCCTGGTTTCCCATTGTCATTGGAACAAGGATGTGGTGCTTGGCAAGGAAAAGTGTTTAGTCCTTTGTATGGAATAAAAATAACTTAGGTCCTGTCGTAATAGCACACTGCAAGGCATATATAAGTCTTCAATCACCTGGTTGTGCAGAATAGTAAAATGTTAAACACTATTTTATTTTGTCACCTAATTGTAAGATTTTTAATTCAGGAAAAATAACATGACAGCTTGAAAATTAATGGCCTTGTTTCTGACAGCAAGCAAAATATTGGGAGACATATAAAACTAAAATGAAAGGATCAGAAGGCCATGATAAGAGGTCAATTTAGTTTTGCTTTAATCTGTTTTATTCAGTTTAATATCTTGTTTGAAATAGTAATCTGTGAAAATTTGTGACATTAAATTTCATTGGAAAGCATATAAGGAGACTTGCATAAAAAGGGAAACATCATTTGGTTGTAATTCTTCTGCCAGTAAACACTTGTGAAATACTAAAAAGATATCTGTATCTATAAGCACCAAAATATTCCAAAGAAGCCTGCTTCCTCATGATATAAACAAATGAAAGTGAAAAAATTAAGGATTCAGTCCATTTATATTAACATTAATTTACCTGAAACATTACGCAGTATCTTAAAGTTTCAAAGCAATGGTGGAAAAAATCATACTTTTCCAATCGTCTATAAATTCAAGGATCTCTGAGATATGTACCCTTACCGCCTTCTGGTCCTTTTACTTTATATTCGTACCTTTTCTGGTAATTGAGGTGCTGCAGCACCAACATGTATAGCGTCATATGGTCCTTCGGGTTCATATCCTAATCTACCATCACCAACCACAAACTTTAACTGACCTCTATCTAATAGTTTGGACAATTTAGCATCTTTTTGAACATTAACAATCGATCCTTCCACCAATTCATCAATATGATCTATACCTACAGCTTTACCATTTTCTCCTACCTGTAAATAACATATTACATAGTTGCCCGAATGTTCAATGAAAGAACTAAGGTATGATTGACGGCCGAAAGCCGTACCATATCCCAGAAAAGAGTTCCCTGTATCTTTCAAAATACATGTACTATATTAATTTACCATCACTATGACAGCCTTTTATTTATGTAATTCTGCTGGTGACTATTTTTCCAAAGGTCCAGTGAAAGAAATTAAGGTCTGACTGACGGTCCAAAGCCATTCCAATTCCCCTCTTTTAATAAAAAGAGTCCGCTGTATATTTCGAATTACTATATTATTTTTCCATCATTATAATGGCTTTTTATTTTATTTTGCAATTTATTATTAAAGAAAATAAAAGATATAGTCTTTTATTTCGGTTTCGTGTGCAATAAAGTGAGCCATTGCAACACAATAGCAGAGGCTAAGGTGGACTGTAAGGGAGGACAACTCTGTTTTGAAGTACAATCCTATAAAATGCCATAATATCTGAGCAACCGAGTAAATAATCTTATTACATACGTAGGTATTTATGAAGGTTAGTTATAACTTTACCAATAGAGCCATACAAGCAGTTAAATATCCACTTCCAGAACCAACATCTAAAGCTTTATTTCCTTCCTTCAGCTGTTCACTTAATAACTCCAGTGCATGGGCGTGCTATAAAAATAATAAGTGGAAAAATATCATTTATACATTAACGGTTTCTGTTATTAAAGGATGCCTTCTAATACAATACGGAAATAAACTTGACAGTTTGTCCATCCTGTCAGTCAGTCTACGTCTTTAGGTGTGTGAGAGGATGTGGTGGGAATGGAGGATAGTGGCTTATTAACACTTGTCTTAAAGGGCACGTATCTAAATGACAAGCATATCGTTCCCCTAAATTTGAGGTCATGATATTTGGACAGCTAAAGCCTCAAAATATTTGTGCAAGATAGGGGGGGGGGGGGGGGGACTTCATTTTTGAAAAAGAAATATATGAATACCCTCACCCCTTAAAGATATGTGAGACCAAAGCCTATGAAAGAGCATCACAAATAACTGACAATTATCCCCAACAAATCTGTCTTTCAGTATATTTTGACCCACAAATAATATGATTAATCATACTAATTATAATTCCCAGGAATTATGTTTGTTGTTCTGAATATTGTAAAATTCAGGTGCTTGCAATACATACCATATGAGGTGCACTTATTGTTACAGAATAGCCGATACCTTGTGGTGCATCTGTATAATGATTATGCTTACAAAAGTGAGCTCTATCTACAGCTTTCATTGTCTCAAGTACTCGCTCATTTTTAATAATACCATTTCCTACAATGACAATAGTAATAAGAATAACAACATAATTAAAGAATGGATAGGATGCAAAAGAAAAGGAGGAGATCAAAGGAATATGTATTCTCTCAGTTAAACAGTTAAAAAAAGAGTATATTAATCATCTATACATGTAAAAAGAAAGAAAAAAACAATTAAAATCTGTTATTTTATTCGAAATACAAGGTGTTTTGGGTAATTAAAGGTGTTTTGGGTAATTAAAGGTGTCTTGGGTAATTAAAGGTATTTTGGGTAATGAAAGGTGTTTTGGGTAAATCTATGGACCGCTGCACTCCAACTTATCAAATAGACCTACAGATGAGTTTAGTTGAGGTGACTGATCCCCTTTTGGGCAAGGCCTATGATAGATTACATACGGTCGGTATTACCCGATACCCACAATCTTGCACAAACAATATACTTTGTTCGAAGGTGCCCTTTTAGAAAATAATGTGAGGTCATCATATTTTATATTAAACGCCAACGGTCACCTGAAGTCTACGCACATTAAAATGTTCCAGCACATGATAAATGATCACAAAAAATTCATAATGCATACCTTATAGATCCATAGATAGTATGACATGAATTAACAACCACATGTAAATGTCACTGAAAACTGATCGATATGGCCGGTTCTACATGTAGTACTACATGTAGTAAAGACTAAAGTAAAAGTAGACTTACTGTGCAGGTTGTCAATGAGATTTTCATTGCTGTTACCACTTGATCTCCACGCCATTGAGGTTCTACTTACAATGCAAAATATTAACGAAAGTTGTTTTGTAAAAATGTTTTTAAAGTTACTTCTTACTACCATCTGGTTTATTCTGAGCGGTGTAAACAACATTTAATTCTATGGCTTCCATCGACCATGCTGTTTTGCAAATGGCTGCAAACAAACGAAAATGACAGAAGTTTTACCAGTTTTTCTCATATTATACATTGAATGCAAGCTTGTTAAATGTTGATAAACACTGATCTTTAATATTGGCCTAGTCATCAACAATGAACTAGCAACTGAAATAAATTAACAAGCATTAAAAATCAATTAAGAAAAATATTCTATGAAATATCTGCATACCCTGGTCGACCTTGACCTTCAAAATAGCCTTGACACTTCGTGACCCCGTGACCATGCCTCGCGGCGGTAAACTTGTGGAATGCAAAGATTGGACAGGTGCTTGCCAGGTTCTTCCAATTGATTTGATATTCTCTCAATGGTCATGCCCGCAATTGGACAAAAATGCCCGTTTTCTATTGAATTATAGTGTCAGTTTGTGCTAGTTAACATTGAACACAAATAATTCAAACTTACTTATTATTTTATAGCCATGCAACTTGCAAACCTAGGTCAGGTGACGGTTTTGGATCGCATTTACAAAGGAAAATCATTTCCTTTGCACCATAAGTTTCTGCATTGGTCATAAAACATTTTATGGTACGGTAACATATAGAGGCAAATACATGTTAATTTTGACCCCTATGAGATTTAGCCTACGAAATTTTAAAGGAGCTAAATTTCTTTGGCGGGAGCTACGGTGGCTAAATGGTCAAGACATTGGCTCGCTAGCCTGGAGGTCAAGTGTTCGATCCCTGCATTGGCCGAGAAAGTTCATCAGGATTTTCCGACGTGGTTCCCCGTTGTCAGTGGTGCATTATGGAGGGCCTGACAAGGACAGCTGACTAGTCATTCGGATGAGACGGAAAACCGAGGTCCCGTGTACACATTGGCGTGTATGTAAAAGATCCCTTGACAGTTGGAATTCGATATGTAATTCATTCAGGGCCAGAGGAAGCAATTCTTGATTTTTGTGGGGGGGGGGAGGGTGCTACTGTCCTAGGACTTCCAGTGAGGGTCGTCAGAGACGCTTTCTGGCTAATGAAATTACTCAGCAATGAAGTGAATATTTATTTCTTTTCTAAATCCCGGGCCTTACCATACAAACACAGTCGACAAATATATGCATAAAAATAACAAGGTTGTGGACACTCTAGAGGTCACAATTTTTATATGATTTTGATGAAACTGACAGTATATGACCCCTGACACAATCTCCCACTACAACTGGTCGGATCTTCATGTAGTGTATGCCATCGAAAGTATTAAAAAAACGAAACGAAATATAGATCTGAATTTAAATTAGATTGAAACTTTGAAAGCATTCTGGCACGCGATTCATGTGCAAATTTTTATACGCCCACATTTTCATGTGGACGTATATTGTCGTCGCCCCTGTCTGTCCGTCCGTTTTTATCCGATTTTGACGAAATTTGAAATATAGGTCTATCTCTCAAAGATCTTGATTCCTTTCTATATTGGCATGTATCGAACCATAACTTCATGGATTATGGCCCCTGATTGTACGAAAAACCACGTTTTTGGCTTGTGGACACTCTAGAGGTCACAATTTTTATAACCTAAATATCTTGTTTCGAGCATGTTTATAACCCAAATATCTTGTTTCGCACATATTGCATCGTATAATCCTGAATTATGGCCCCTGTTTGTTCGAAAAATAACATTTTTAGCTTGTGGATTCTCTAGAGGTCACAATTTTTTTTTCCGATTTTAAAAAACGTTTAGATATATCACCATTCCACCATAATGAAGGTTGAATTAAATATATGCGCATTTCAGACCATAACTTTCTGGATTATGGCCCCTGATTGTACAAAAAATCGTTTTTGTTTTTAGTTTGTTCTCTATCCATCTCTTGTAAAATGTGGACGTATCCTGCCAGGCAGCTGCGGGTAAAATTTTCAGTTTGTCTTAAATATTGGATATCAGAAGCCAATCTTTTCACTGTAAAATAACATCAATCTTGTTTTAAATTGACCAATAAGTCGTATTTACAATGTTGAAGACTGTGGGTGATATCGAGTTAGCGACTTGCCTCCTTGAAGCTACCCTGTAAAATTTACCGAGACCTACTACCCTTCTGATTCTACCGGAATAAGACATAATAAGTTTCAAAATTAGAATGCAACAGATGATGTTTATTGAAAAATGTGGCTGACTGTCATGGAATTAATTTTGTAACACTGTATGTCCATTATTGGATGTATCACATATACAAAATGTGTTATATGTGTTGTGTTAGTGGACGTCGTATTGATTCTTTCAAAGCTGTATAGCCCACTGACCAAGTAACTTGCCCATGTCACAAGGTCCCATAAAGGGAGAACGGAATGGACTAGTACGATCGATCGATCTTAACTGGTAGACAATGAATGAATTTGACAGAATCAAATGACCTCAAGTGAGACATTTCTCTCCCACATTTATGTAAGGCCACACCAATTTTAATTTTTGTTCCTAAATTGGAATTTAACTTTTTATTTCTTGAGGTGAAATAAAATAATTTAAAAGCAAAAAATACTTGTTTTTCTTGGAAATTTTAAATATAACATCGTTCATGAGACTTGATGGCTATTTATTTATGAAGGTTCCGAAGACCTAGAAATTAAATTGCTTTGGACTAAGGGGGCTACCGATATATTTAACCTACATATGCCAAAGTTTAGTGATTTCAAGTTTGTTTTCCTGAACATATATTTGAGCAATTCTATTTATTTTTGTGTCTTTTGACAATTATATCTCTGGAAATATTTCATAAAATCCTGATGTCAATAAAATTGTTTATAACATTGTTTATAAAGACACTCAAATTGAGTGAACTTGGCACACCAGCTGAGAATGCAATCAAAAATGTATGTGAAAAGCCTGAAGGTGAACCCAACAATCCCCTCCTTTTCTATACTTCAGAAAAAATTTTGAAACAGAAAATTTCTATTCTATAAAAAAATGATTAAAACGAAAATTTCTGTACTATGAAATAATTATTTATGTGTTGTGGGATTAATTTGAATAAAAGTATGTTATTACTGGCCTGTCAAAATTCTCCCATATAGTTAAACATACATTATGCAAGAGCCAAATCTCCCTATTGCAGGTCTTTATTTAGGCCTAAAATGTTATATAAATTATTAATTAGATATTAATTATCTTATCTTGGCCATAATCAACTCTCGATGGCATCGGATTTCTCAATATTAAATAGATTAGAACAGTTCAGCCATATTTTGATTTAAGCTAAAAATGGAGGAGCGAGACTTATCTTCAAACAACCAGTATGGTGGCTGAAATTATTGCATCCGTCTTGTCAAACCTTCAAAGTCTAATATCTTCGCTCGCAATAGAGTAATTTGAATGAAATTTTCAAATTATTCATTTTACATTATCTATTTTCGAACTATTATAGCAAGAATGGCTAGCTCTTTATCTATTTTCGAACTATTATAGCAAGAATGGCTAGCTCTTTATCTAAATCTTACGTAATGTATCTTTAATAATGCTCTAGCTGTAAGCATTCAGAGATAATCTATTCTGCTACTGTTAAACTTGAATACTCTTCAAGTTAAAAAGTTATTTCATTGTTTTATTTCTTTCTCAACAGAAAAGTTGAGTTATTTCCTTGAATAACTTGAGTTATTTCCACTTATAAATTAGCAGAAAAACTTTCTAAATTCATGTAAGCATATAGTACTGTGTTACAAAAAAAAATAGGCAGGTTCTGAAAACATTCCCCGCTTTGCCCCAAAATTTTCAATTTTAAAATTGATTTTCAAAAAATTTATTTTCCATTATACACTAAAGATCACAAAGAACCAAAAGTCAAATTAGTTTGGCCTTATTTAACTGTCTGATGTTGCAGTGATACTTTCCTCTTGTCAGCAACATTCTCGTCTTTTTCTATAAAGTCAATACTTGTGGCGATTGCCAGTTAATCATCGTCAAATATTTAACATGAAAAAGATGAAAGACGAAACTTAATGCTAACATTTATTTGTATCTAAAGAAGAAACATTAGCCTAGATTTGATTTTCACTTTGATAAGTTTTTAAAAGATTAGTTTAAAATCGCGTAGTTTGTTTAAATATTTCGTAATGTCCACTCGTTTTCTTCTTGTGCAGAAAATGCACCTGTTGAGAATAGGTGTAATCTGCAGCATGTTTCAATTTTACTCTTCCTATCTTGGTGACATAATTGGGGTTTTTTTTTCAGTTGTCAATTTTGTTATGCTTAGTCTTAGTTATTGTCAGTATTAGTTCCCAAAGGACCTGTTTAATGTCAAGTGAAAGTTCAACCCCCATATTTCTCAAAAGATGTTTAAAGACAATGCCACGGACCAGTAAGACCACTAGCATGTCACCAGTGCAATGTCGTTTCATTGCTAATGAACAATTCGCTTTCAAAAAATAAAATTCTAATATTGATTGAAAAGGCTTTATTTTGTAATGACAAACATATTGGATAGAAATCCATTATTATTTTAAAAATATATATATCACAAAAACTGTTCATTAGAATTTGGTGATATTTTGGATATGATACAGGGAGCGTATGGATAGAGAAATGAAAACTCAAATATATTTTTACACATTTTTAGTAATTGACATGTTATTGTAATTTTCAGATAGATAAATAAATTGATTGATTATAAAGTTGAAAATATATCGATGTGATAGTCAAGATCAAACAGAATGTAAGAAAGGTACTTACTGTATATTTTATTTTTATATTCAGTACCGGTATATGCAGGCAGACATTTGGTATTACGGTGAATACTATTGCATGCCCCAGGATATGAGAGATTAAGGATATTTTATGATCCAAGCTAACACCCTGCAGACTCAATGAAAATAAAAATCAATATAAAGATTAAAGTTATTGTGCATGATTTGTATTTTTTGAAAAATATCAAATTTCTCATGGCTTAATCCACACTAATGTGTACTCAAATTGATTATTAAATATTTTATTAAGGAAACAAAATCAAAATATCAAGGGTAGATATTATCCTCCTGGCTTGGATGCAATTGAATTAAAAACTGGCCCATCAATTGGATGGCAGTGGGCAGATTATAATGTCATCCGACAATAAAAAGACTTGTAACTGACGACTACCTTAAATTCAGGCTAATAGCAATCCCTTCTTCCATGGCACCAAATAGCAGAAAATGCTGCAGCTAAAGTAAACTGCTACGGCATCACAGCATTTCTTCATATTAAACACAAATTTGTAGCGTTGAAGACATCGAATTGGCAGGATTTACATTCAATGCTGATTTGGTATGGCAGTTTTCTGAGCACATCTAGATGATCTATTTCTGCAAAAAAGTATTTGCTTTTGCTTTTACATTCTTTTTTTAGGCGTTGCCTTGTTTATATGATGCTGTTATGGTGCCTCATTTCATGGAATCTGAAAGCACTGATTGTCAAAGAAGCCCATTTGGGCTCTTGTTAGTACCAGAATGTAGAATTTATATGAACACAAAAACACCTAGTTGTAATTTGGCTGATATCAGACTGTATTATTGTATACTTAAGCAAAATGAAACAATGACCATATCCAGGTTGTTTTTCTATTGTTTTACTACAGTATCAGTGTAAATTAAATGTTTTATATATAACATATGTTGTTAAAAATTATATTCTAAGCTGGGTGTGGGGGCAGCGGGGAGTAGAAAATATGATCAAACTATCTTGTTATAATTAATGATGGTTGCCTTGTACCATGTATTGTATACTTGTTTATATCTAGAACACTTGATGTCACTCTTCAAAGAAGGAATTCACAATCACAATATTTATATTGTACATTTGTATTAGATGTCTCTTGTAGATTGTTAATCTGTGAAATGTTTGGAACTGTAATTTACGACAGTATTTTGAAGGTGAGACAGACGAGCTTGCCAACTAATGAACGTTCCAGCTCTTCAGGAATTCATTCAACAAACTTTCTTGAAGATTTTCGATTGATTTGTAGTGATAAACATAGTTTACGAGTTTTGTTACCTGAGAGTACTGAATCAATAACAATAAACACTTAATAAATGTGGTATTGTTATGCAGATTTTATATTATGGTGATCGAGTCTATTATCCACGCCTGAAGTTGCATAAATAAATCTTATATTTGTATGAATAGGTTTTATGTATTAGATAGCTTATGTATGTAGGTTTATATCATGTATATCATTTTTGTCAAATGATGGTATCGTAGTATTTGCATAGAGAAGAAAATGTGGAAAACATCAGAGCAAAAAGGCTAACGCCTACTACCTTCAGAATTTAGGATGTGTTGTATTTAATACAGGTAGCTACCGTTTTCTTACGACTTTTTAGGTCATTTTTAGTTTCTAAGCGAGTATAAGACATTAAAACTTTAACCACCCACATAGTTTATGGCAGACATATTCCAACATTGTCTTACTGGACAATGAATGGACTTAACGGTTGATTCGTATCCTATAAAAATCCATGGTTAAACTAGGGTAGAAGCAGGTTTAGATATGAGCCTACTTCTTTTGACTAGTGATCGGTGTAAAGGAGATTGTATGTACCTAGAGATTACCACACATAACAGAGATACTTCTACTTGTTGACACGACTGTTTGTTTAATGTTTCATCTCATCATCTTGTTTTCAATTTAAAACACAGTTGAGTTACTTTCAATGTGTGTCTTGCTTCTGCATTAAGGAGTAACAAGTGAATTCGAATGTGCAAGTGATGTGACAGTATATATAGTAGTTAGTGCTCCACTTTGTCATTATATATGACATGTCTTAGAAATAGTTTAAACATGTGTTGCCATTTGTGTATGTGATATATAATAGGTGTTGGATTAAAGGATACATATATTTATATATTTCTTGTTAGGGCTAAAGTTTGTAAGTATAAATGTTTTTCTTAATTTAATATGTTTTATTTTCTCTTAGATATTTAATTATGATTATTTATTAGATATATATATTTCTCATTATGACTAAAGTTTGTCAGTCTAGAACTCGCAAGCTCAAATTTTATATCAAAAAGAATCAAATTATTTTCTAACAGAATTTTATTTCATTTATTTTGTTTTCTCTTAGATATTTATTTGTGATTATTTGTTAGATATCCTGTTACATATTACTGTGTACACCACATGGATGACCGATCACTATTTTATTTTTACACTATAACTACAAACCAGATGATCATTATTCATCAAAAATGATATTTATTTTCCCTTCCTGTCCATACTACCGGTAATAGTGTTTTAAAATCCTGTTTCCAGAGAAAAGTTACACCCTTTTTTTTAAATTTTATAAACAAAAGTTACACCTTGTGATGTAAGTCTTCTCTATAGGTGCAGTATTTGAAATTCATTTTTTCATGGAGTGGAAGCATATAAAAAATTAATGCAAGTTTTTGACATTAGAAAGATTTTTTCATGATGGATTGGAAGCATATAAAAATTTGATACACGTTTTTGAAATAGAAAGATTTTCTGATCTGTGTTTAAGAATACATGCGGAAATGTGTTTTGTCATCATTGTGGTGAAGACAGTAGTAATTTATTAATATAATTGATTTCAAAGACATTAGATATGTCTTCCTGTCATATCTATATTTTGGACAGTTTTTCAGAAGTTCATATAAATGTATTGACTAGAAACTACTTGAAAGTATAGATCTATGACCATTGGGTATGTGATGTGGAGGAGACCAAATATAACTTTTGTTATGAAAAAAAAAAATGAAATATCAATTTTTTACAGTAATCTTGGTAATTTCTGTTGTTTGTTTGGTCTAATAGTGCAGGGGGACTGCACCACACATAATTTGCACAAAACAAATCTGCGGACAACACACAATACGCAGAAATCACAGACGAACGTATCAAATTAAGTGAATGGATCCAGAGTTTTGAGACGTAATTAATTTCATGGCAGGTGGTTTCTAAGTATTTTGAGTATGTACATGTAACTTGTAAGTTATTTTTTAAGTCATGGTTCTTAGTTATTATTTACATCTCTGGATGAGTTACTTCTACTAGTCTACATTATGTTTATAGACTAGATCATCATATCAATAAAACCTGTAATACAAGCTAACCGTGTTATTAAGTTGTCATACTGAAAGCATTACACACGACTATTGATGAAATTCGTATTGTCCTTGTGTTTTGTTTACTGAAAAGCGGTTGTTGTCTGGCCAAGAAACGGCAAGGACAATTTAGTTTAGGGGTGCGACTAAACTTCTGACAACTTTCTGTGTGCTCAATACTGGATTGTCTACATACATTGAAGTTGACCGAAGAAAGTAGCTTAGTCCGAAATGTCAACACCAACCACTTGTGTCGATTCAATGAATTAGTTGTCTTAAAGGCAGGATTTTATTCCACAGTTACAAGTTGGTTTAAGGAGCTGTTTTATTCTTTAAATTGAGGATTAACGTTAGAATGTAAAGCCTAGTTTTGTGTTGGTGAATTTTTAATCTTTTAAGTGGTTTGAAGTGAAGATTAGGGAAAAGACATACAAAATAAGCTAGTGAACCAAAGACAAGAATGTTATTATAGGATTTTTTGATATCCGTGTGTTCAATATCCGTGACCTGCGGCTTATTGTTATCAGACAGGTAAATACATCACCTTTTATTGTCATAAAAAATTGGTTTATTTACAGTTACACCTGTTTCTGTTAACAGATATTTGACTTTAACTCAGGGGTGTTTATGAGTAGCTCACGTAAATACAGATAAAATCGCAATTTTCCCTGGATTCAGAAATGTAAGGAACGAAATTGATTGACAATACAGGTCCCTGTTATGGTTTTATGAAATTTTGTCATTAAATAACAGATATTATGTTTTAACTTTGGAGTGTGTAGGAGTAGCTCATGTACATACCGATGAAATTGAAATTTTCCTTGGATTTTGAAATGTAAGAAATGTAATCGTAAGACAATTCAGTCTTATTTAATTATTAAATAACAGAATTATCTGAGCAGGAAGAGTTTTAGATCTTTGATAAGATTGTCTCTTATGAAGATTTTATTAGATTTCCTTAATTTAAGATGCAAATTTTAATGTTGTTCGTGTTAAGATAAATAAATGGGGGAAAAAAGCTCGACATGATCACGGTAAATGCAGCTGGGTGAGATAGAGATTGATCAGTATAATAAAATCGGGGGCACATTTCACCTTTTTTATACATAATAATTGATTTACTTCACTATTGTGTTGAATGGTTTTCAAGCCTGCTGTGCTTCCTCTCAGTTTTCACAAAACTATTAGTTGTCAAATTACCTAGATGTGTAATGATGGGTTACTAATATCATTCACTCATTTATAGAATTCCTCCATTCATTTCTTTAATACATTAAATTACATTCATTCATTAAGTTCTATTCATTGAATCTTAACCTAGATCAGATGCAATATATCTTTATTTTATGCAATGTAAATGCCCTTGTATTTGACCTTGTCTTAACGAAAGAATTAAAGGCTAGTGATAAACCTTGCCTCTGGTTATAACAATCACCTTTGATGGTGTAGAATGTGGTCATCTATCAATAGACTAGTTAAGCTAGCTTTATTATCAATGTGGAGGTGACATTCATTCAGCCCCTTATGACTTGATTTACTTAGATGACCCAAAACCATGATAAGGTCCTTAGAGATGAGGGAAGTTATTTGACCATAAATCTTTTTTTTTGTCCCACCTGTCCTTCGAAGAAAGCAGGGGACTATTAAAATGGGTCTGTCTGCTGTCAGTCCTACGATAAGTAGAGACTTCAATATGAACACAATCTGGAACACAATAGTTCTCCTCCTAAATGAGGTAAAATGTCCGAACTTGGTGTAGGTGTCTATTAGGTCAATGCCTTGACAGAGTTCGATCATGTGCATTTTCCACTAAGATTAAGCAGATATAAGCAATTTGATTGGTTGAGACTTTGGAACATCATAACTTTGGTCCTAATTGGGTAAAAGTGATGAAACTCTAGATTCATTATATCAATACCTTGACTAAGTTCGATGATGAGAATTTTGTGCTTAGGCTAAGTAGCGATAAGGAATTTGATTGGTCAAGACTTTGGAACATAGTATCTCTGCTTTTTATTGAGGTAGAATGTTTAAACTTGGTGTAGATGTTCATTAGGTGAATGTCTTAACTGAGTTTAATTATTAACATTTTCCGCTAAAGCTAAGCAGAGCTAAGCAATTTCATTGGTCGATGCTTTGGGACAATATTAAGATAACTTTGGTTCTAACGTACTATATAATTAGGTGAATGTCTTGACTGAGTTCAAATGATAAGTTTGATTGCCTGATGCCTATAAAAAAGATACATGTGCAATTGACATCATTTATTGTGGGAATGCAGCAGGGGACATCAGCCTCACTGTTCGCTTGTTTAATTTGATTTTGAATTTTATCTTGAAAAATCTCTGGCATGTGGTTTTATCATTTTGTTCTGTCTCTCCAGTTATTGTGCAGTTTTCCTGTATCTGGCTGAAACTGTCATTTTCTTAAATACAAAGATTTGTTAACATCTCAATATATCCCATTTTGTAACTAAATATCTGTCATTGAGTCAAATGGGGTGTTTTCGATTTCCCACTTGTACGCAACAAGGAGTAGGGTCGTCTGTCCAACCTCACAGGTTTTCTCCGGTTTCCTGCCACTGATAATGGCCCCAAAGCGCTAGCGAATCATTGAAATGTTAGTCCCAAAATCAAGTAGATGTTAAACCACATCTCTCTCTCTATTTTTAAATTTTGCAAACAAATATGTATACCTATTACAGAGAGGTTTTGTTACTTTACAGATTACTTCAATGAACTTTATTTAACACTCATTTGATGCCCAATATTGAAATTACATAACACTAATATTTTATCATGTACTTAATCAAATAGATACAAGCTATACCTGTTAGGTTAGTCTATGTCCACAGGCTATTGCAATAATAGGATGTATATTTTAATAAATCTATAGGAGGTCACTTCAAAGGTACTGTCTGGTGGGTTGTTAGTAATATGTGTATGTTTCTTTTATTTCTGGTAGTTTTCTGTTCACTTTTGACAAAAAACATTTAACTGGTTGCATAGTTGTTACTTGATCTGCCAATAATATGTCCAGGATCCTTTTTACCCCTTTCTTTAATTGACACAGGACCGTCTTCATTATCCCAGTTGGTGCAGAAAAGTAGGATGTTAAACCCCATTTCATTTTATTTCATTTAATTGACATAGTAGCTGAGGGCAAGGAGCAGTCTGACATGAGACTCTGTGTTCTTTATTCATGTGTACTTATTTGGCACAGTTTTATTATGCAGCGATCTTAATCCAGCTAGCCAGAATTGGTGAATGTTGGTACAGTTAAAGACAATAGTCATGATAAGTTTCCATTCCCTTTTAAATTAAAAAGTTTGAATGAACAAATTTTCTTATTATTTTGCTGTGAAACATAATATACCCAGTACTAGAAATGATATATATATATGTATATAAAAAACCAACCCAAATACATATGTTCAATATTATTCATATTCACTTCAAGTATGGCCTCACTTTGTAAAAGATTAAATAAGGTACTTTAAGGCCCAGTTCTTAATAGCATTCTAAAAGATTTCATGGAGAAAAATACTTTTAGATAAAAGTTTATAATCAGCTTTCTTCTTCAAAAAAATAAAAGAGCTATTTACTCTAATATTTGAATTCTGAATTTTGCATTCAATCATAATGTGATTTCTGAGAGCAAACTTTTATATTAAATCTTATAATAAATTGTACAAATGGCTAACTTGTATAAAATTTTTAAGGAAGTTTAATCTGTTTTAATTATTTTAGATCTTTTTAAAAAGATATAATCTTTGTTTTATATTTTTCAAATACCTGATGAAAACAAAAGTCAAATGTCTTTCGTTTATGATGATAATACATACTTTGCTTCAATGTTCAGTCACATACTTTAAAGTGAATTAATTATGATACCTGTTGTAAAAACGTAGGTTTAAGGACATATTTGTATTATTGAAGTCAGAAATAATACTCTTTTGGAGTTTATTATGTATTTATTTAATTTATCTTCATGTAAAGGGCACCTGGACATATTTTATTGTGTAAGTTGTATTATAAATGATATAGCAGCCAAACCATTTAACAATATATACAAAAATCCATATAAATACAAATTGCAGTTTCATGTGTACTCTAAAACTACAAATAAGATATTCTTTCTTTCTTTCTTTTTTATCAAATTTTCTATTAACTGTATTTCTCAACCTATATAACAGAACTTTCAAATACTCCACCCATAAAATAAGTTACCTCTTAGAAAAATATTGCCTGTAATAGACACCACAATGATATGAAGCAACTGTTTTTATGGATACATTATTTTTAAAAATAGATTTAACATGATGGATGGAAATTAAATGAATGTAAAATACAATTTTTTATAGATATAGATTGAGCTATTTATAGTTTAAGTGTAAAACCAAATCATTGAGGTCCGTCTGGTCTTGCTGGACACTTCATGAATATTAATAAACCACTCTGGTTGATTTGAATTAAGTAAGATCAGAGCTTCTTGAGATGTCATAATGTAGGTGACAATCAGTCTTTGTTTATACATAATTCATGACAAGATAGTAAACAAAAACATTTATGTTTGATTGATACGAAGTACCGAAAAAAAAAAAGAAGAAAATACAACACAGGGGCCCGTCCTACTTCTCTGGATATTCTGTGCAATGTCAGTTTGCACATCTACAGGTTTATAGCAACAAAACCAAGGTGGATGTTGATCATCAGTCTGACAAATTGATGGCATCCTAAGCCCTCAAAAGAGCAATATGAAACAGATTTCAAAGGACTATAACTCTGCTTTTAATTTTTTCTGTTGATTATTTGTTCAGATGTCTTTAAAAAATTGTTGTAGATTGCTGCACCAAAAGTAATAGCAAAACAAACATAGCAAAA